CTGCATCTAATTTATTATTTTCTCTTTTACTATTATCATCCAATTCTATTGTTTATATCTTAGAAAGTGAACCAAATTAATTGCTTGTGGCCTTGAAATATAAATTTAGGCTAGATGACCACACGCGATTGGGAAAAATAAAAAGGACGGATAATGTACTATATCACTCTTTTTTTGGCCGTTTATATATTTAATATCTGGAATATATTGATCCACTTATTTAAATTTGTGTTGGATAAGTCCCGCTAAGAACGGTAAACCTTCATGCCGAATTTGCAGTATTCAAACTCAAGAAATCTCTTGAGGAAAAAAAAAACTCAATAAATCTTGTTTAAGGGTAGAGAAATCTCAATCATCTCATAATAGTCCTCGGTGATAGAACATGGAAAATGGGATATGAATACTGTAACTGTCTTTTTATATTTTTCTCTGATATATTTCGTGTTCGATGCTACTGATTCGATTAATTTAAATTACACCCAGAATAATATAACAATAAATATACCAATAGCTTCAATCTTGACAACTGTCTAGTTAGCTAAAGGGTCCTTTTGTAGTTTGTGCCCCATATCATTAACGTTTCATCACTGGCTACTCCCTCAAGTTGGTACTTACGTCTTACGTGGTTGTTATGAAAATGATTTTTCTTAAATATATACCAATATATTTTAAAGTCAAAAGTTTTTCAAATTGACTAACTCGAATATAATGTTCAATTTTAATTAGTTACAGTACATGTTACAATCGTAAGGTTGATTTGCGAACACGTTGTCAACTGCCTCTTTCAGGTATTTGGCAATACGAATATTACTTTTATGTTCATATAAAATTTGTTTTGGTATAACTTTTTGTGCAAGCATGATTATCAACCCATAAAAGTCATTATATAATAGAAGTATCCAAAATATATTCTGTGCACTAAACTTAGATATATGTAAGTGTATATCACACATTTTGAACTTAGAATCACAATAAAATTTACTGTAGCTCCTTAAGCTACTATATATAACTCATCCTAAAAACTATTACTATCGTATTACTTTTCTCCTTAAACTCTTGTAAAAATTGTCTTGGAGCCCCTTACAATAATTTGGTTTGGCCACTAAATATATGGCGGATGTCATTGAAACTGTATCTTTTTGCTATCTAGAGATCGTGAGAAAACCATGCGAGCTGTATAGGAAGGGTTAATTATGCCTATAACACTCAGAAGGTCGCTCAACCAGATTTATTAAATTTTTGATTGGCAAATACCTATTTTACCCTCTAAATTATCAACTTTTATCTTTCCTTTTTTTTTGGTTGTTTTTTTAATATTATGATTTTTTCTCTTTTTATTCAACATTATGGACTTACCTATAGAACAAAAATATTTTATTTAAAAATAAAAATATTTTTCTAGCATCTACAATGTCAAAATAATAATTTAATTGAGCATAATATTCAAGAATATGTAATGTTTATTACAAAAATATCTTTATTTTAAATAATTATTTTTTATAGGTACGTGCATGGAATATATATTTTAAAACTTTTATTTTCTTTCATTCTCAATTGTGTAAATTATTTTTTGAGTTTTTTTATCAAAATTATTATTACAAACAAATTGTTCTAATTAACTTTCTACTATGCTCAATATTTATTCCAACATTGTACATGCTTAAATAGTATTTTAATTTTTTTAATTTATAAATAAAATTTATTTATTCTAAGGTAAGTCCATAATATAAATTAAAAAGAGAAAAATTATTATATTAAAAAGCTAAAAAAATAAAAAAGAAGATAAAAGTTTATAATTTAGAGGGTAAAATAGGTATTTGGTGATAAAAATTTTGAGAAATCTAGTTGAGTGACCTTCTGAGTGTTATTATCATAATTAAGTGACTTTGTTGTTATGAACGAAAGAAAGATGACTTTGGTAGATAATTTCGGATAGTTGAGTGACCATATGAGTAATGTACTCTAGGAAGAAAGGAATATAAATAATATTTGAAGAAGAAAATTAAAATATAAAGAATTTCTATTTAAATAATATGTGAACATTATTTCAAGCTCTGTATCAGGATAAAAAGATTATGGCATATTGAATTTTGAGCTATGTAATATGTAAGTTGCTATCACTGGATCATTAAATCTGTATCAGGGTCAACTTGATATAATGTGACAAAACATCAAGTTGAGGTCGTAAAGTGTACGTTGTAGATAATTTTAAATTCACCATTTGATTTCCCCTGTTTTATTTTTACCTTTAAAATATTACTATTTATTTTCCCTTATCGTCTCAACTGTGTACGAATAGAGTGTGCATCTGAACTCTGAAGCTAGAAGCTAAGGTGATCCCATTTATTTTATTTCTTTGCTCAAAATAATCTTTTAGAGTGTAGGAAATGCAGCAAATCAATTATTTTGTACAGTATTCAACATAGGATGCTAATACCATGATCAGCATTAATCCCCGAATTATAAAATAAAAAAACCAAAAACAATCTCGATTATCTCTTTCTTTTTTCTTATTTATTCAGAAATTAGGGATAAAATCAGAAACAAAACTTCGTCCAAATTGCAACTAAACACATCATTTTAATTCATTATATATATTATATTCGATTTTCAATGTAATTAATCAATCATTTGTCCAAAAAGAAGTAACAGTTCAAGGTTTTTAATTTCAGTATAACGATCCCATACTATAATCCCAAAGTAAAACATTATCTACCAATTAAACGAACCTAAGTGTTTCAGAAAAAATAAAACGAAAATATGTAGGTGATTTTTTTAATTTACTCAAGTTTATTAACAAAGTTATTTGGTATTTGTGCCGGTAGAACACAGTAAGCACTCCGAAAAATTTATAGAAATACATTCAAGCTGACCCGAAATTGACATGATAGCAATTCATGCATCTGGACCATTTGGGTTTTGGAGTTTAGCTGAACCCACAGACTTAAACCCGACCCGATATGAAGTCCTGAAGGCGACTTAGGTCAGTGACGCCAGCCATTGGCACACGTATGACGTCATATAGACATAGCCTTTATGCTTCTGCCACATGGCAGTAGATTAACGTACTGATAGTTGCCCTACTACAAATATGATTCACACTCTTTCCAAGAGCGTGACTAACACCGTACAAAGATTTTATTTTCGCTATTAGCAAATCACCTTTTTGTGTCTATATACTTCCTCTGGTTCACAATAAGTGTCCAATTTGCTTTTAGCACGCCCATTAAGAAAATACTAAATTCTATACAAAAATACCTACTATGACTAAACTACCCCTAATTAAACATTTAATGTGAGGAGTAAGAAAACTTTTTAGGGATATGTACATAGGGGTTATTTTGTAAAAATAAATTGAATTCCTTCTTGATTAAATAACTGGACACTTATTTTGAACCAAAATAAAAAAGCAAATTGGACACTTATTGTGAACCGGAGGGAGTACTAATCTTTGTTTTAACTTGTGTTTTGCTAATTTCATTTTCAGTCTGTTTAAAAGAATGTTACTTTGTTATATTTAGTATATGTTCAATTCTAATAATTCTTTTAAGATATGATAAAAATTCAAATGAAGGCTATTTTTGGCATGTTATACACATATTTAATTTAAGATCATAAAATTAAAAAATCTTACTTACATACTGCCAAATCAAAGTAGGACACATAAAATGAGATGGATAGTAGTAAACATAGAAATTTCTCTATCCAAATTCACAAATCAATCACATTTAATTGATTATTGTAGTTCAAATCATTGTTAAACAAGACAATAATTTTATTAGTATTTACTGATATTTTATATTCGAATTACCCACAGATTAAAGCAAAATTCAATTTGGAAACAACTTTTACCAATCACTTAAGCTTAGTTTCAAATTATAAAACGGAGAATTTCTTGGCAGAGAGCACTTTATACTCCATACTAGGCTTATCTGATATGGATTCGAATTAGTAAGGTAATTATCCCTTTCGATTGTGTCAAGGAAAAGTTCATATTTAGAAAAAGCTGCATTGACATGAATATTAATGTGTTTAATATAATATAGGATTGCAACTTTTAACCAACTTTTGATGTGGTAATTTGATTTCAAAGCATATCCCAAAATATCAAATTGATCAAACAAGATGTCAACTTGAATTAATTTTATACTTTAGTTTTCGTTAATTATAACTCAAACAAATATTTTTAGAATATACATGTTCTTGCATTTTTTTTTTTTTTTTTGCTTTTAAGAACTAAAATAAGATGAAGATATTTGCCAGAAAGATTGCTAATTTGTTGACCTGTGAATATTGAATCAAGTGTTGAAACAAATCAGAAGAAAAATGACTTGAGTGGATCCAAAGTCTTACAACATTTATCATTTTCAAGAACCGGCACTTTAACTTAAATATTTACTCTTACAACTCAAACACATACTTTGAACCAATATTAATTATGTTATTTTCTAAAAGATTTATTTTCATCAATAGAGGGTACATGAACAACGTGCGTATCCTAAAAATGGTTACCTTTAATGACAAGATATATATAGGTTATGGTTACGTAAATATTTATTGCTAATTTTCTATCGTAAATTTCAAAATATTTCTTTCATTATTGAACTATAAGTCCGGTCAAATATTACGATCAAATAAAATTAAGTTGTTATATATATTACTCCCTCCGATCCAAAATAAGTAATTATTTTGTTATTTTCACACATATTAAAAAACTCACCTTTTAACATTAATTAGCAATGAAATTGACCATATTAACCTTTACTATCTCTTCATATAAACACTCCTAACACATACTCCAACATCATTTACTCCAAGGGCAATGTAGGAAAAGAATAATGAATTCATTCTTCAAATCTCGAAAAATCACTTATTTTGAACCACAAAAAAGAAAATAAAAAATCACTTATTATGGACCTACACTTTATTGTCTTTATGTTGTGTATATGACGCGCTTGAATGAGCTTTGGGGGATTTGGATTTTAGTTTTGCTCTCTCTTTCTCTATCTACTGCTAATTCCGTGTCCATTTACTATCTTTCATTGCGACATCCAGTCGGCCCCTTTCCCTTTCTTCAACTCCATTTTCCTTTCCTGGAAACCCACTTTCCATTTCCCTAAAAATCAAATCCAAACCCATAATAACCCGTTTCAACTTTCAGTACTCTTCTCAACAAACATTCAATGGATAAAATGCTAAGTGTGCATTCAAAAAAGGGAAACAAAGAGTCTAAAAATACCAAGAAAAAGCCAGTGAAAGTTGTGTATATTGCAAACCCTATGAAGGTGAACACTAGTGCAGCAGAGTTCAGAGCTTTAGTCCAAGAACTCACTGGACAAGATGCTAAGTACCCAATGATGGAAAGTAGCTGTGTCGGCACGGAATGCGACAAAAATAGTAAATTCAAAAAGGATTTTTATTCAAAAAGGGAAATGACAGTAACTGACAAAGATAAAGTTGTACATGAAGATCATCATCATCATCATCATGTTGTGGATGAAGTAGCTAATAATGTGCATAATCCTAATAGTGAAGCAGCAATGACCGATAATTCGGATCTTTCGTTCGAGGATTATGGTGGTGGTGGAGAAGATTTTGTGCCAGAGTTGCTGGACAATTTCCCAGGGTTGATGGCTTCAAACTTGTGGTATGACTAAATGAAATGAAACTTAGTTTGTTTCTTCTAGTTCTAGTTAAAAAAAAAAAAAAAAAACTAAAAGGTCAAATAGCTATAGATAGTTCTTGGCTATGCCTATATGTATATTCTGCTTTTATAGTACTTAAATAATTAGGTGATATATATATATATATGCAAGTAGCTCTAGCCATGTACAACTTGCTTGATACTACTTTTGTATTTAGTGGCTAGCTAGTCCTGCAACTTGGAGATAAAAGTAATTGGTTCAGTACTAACTGTACAACTCATCATTCAAGATCTACCTTAAGTTAGCAAAAACTAAAGGTTTCTCTTAATGTAATAAAGTCAATATTTTTTAATGCTAAGAATAAAGTTTCATTTCTGTTGGGGGAGAATAAACGAATACTCGATCTCTTTCTTTTTTTGGTTTCTTTCTTCAATCCATCTTTGGTTGGAAATGGGCTCGAGATTATCATAGAAGAGGCTATTTAGCCAGGAACTATCAAATCTTGAGGCTTTGCCCAAATTCATATATGCTGTTTGGTACATTTTTCTGCTTATTAAAAGTTATAGTAGTAAAGAAATCTGTTTTATTGAATGTTATTAGATATATTCACATAACAAATTAATCAGTGAAAAGAGAAATTTTATTAACACAACAAAATGATTTCTTGAATCAGAAAGTTTAAACTGAGAATTTCTAGTTTCTGCTTTGATATTAACAGAAACAACTTCGTCAATGTTGTTCAATTCCCTTTAGCTTATTACTTGCTAATCATTTAGTTCAATTTGAAGTAAGATTTCCTAAAGAAGGATTCTATTGTTAGATAGGTTTGAGGTCTAAATCTTTATGTTGGAGTACTGCTAGGAATATGAATTTTCATGGTCCTCAAAGGAAAATAACTCTAACTATATATTTGGTGTTTTCCAGTGTAGGCCGTAGTGTTACTCAATTTTCAGCAAAGGTGTGCTGAAGGGGTTTGAGTAGGACCAAATTATTTCTGCAAAAGTACTTGAAATATTTATTTTTCATGGCCCTCAAAAATAGTGAAGTATATTTGGCGTGAATCCCACGGGATATCCCACCATTGTAACAAACGACACCTTACAGCTTAGTTTATTTTCTTAATAATCAATCAAATGAAAAGATTAGTAACAACAAATTTGGGAAAGTTTACGTTCTACTTGTTACAATTCTACCATACTCTATTACTCCCTCCTCAAATTATTTGTCATGATTTTAAAAATAGTTGTCTTAAATTATTTGTCATTTTAGAAGTTCAAGACAAAAATAAATTTTTTTTCTTCTCATTTTATCTTTAGTAGTAATTGTTATTGAAGATTGAGATGACTCATAACTAAAATAAATGTTCAATGAAGAAAGACTATATCTTAAAAAATAAATAAGGGTAAAATAGTGAATACTCCCTTCTAATTAATATTTTTTAAAGGCCATGTAAAAGTGAAACACGACACATAATTTGAGAGGAAGGAGTAATTGGTGGCAACTACATCATGTAATTATAAGCTAATGTAACTTTTAATTTTTTTTCCAAATATATTAGGTACTATTCTTTTTTGAACCGTTTCTCTTCCAATTCTCTTATCCTCCTTTTCGAACCTTCCAATGTGTTGCTTATGGCGTGCTTCTATATAATTTTGCAACTTCTCAGTTTTTAGTTCTTTACTAGTTGTCGTACTCGCGCGATGCGCGGTCAATATTAAAAAATATTAATTAAATTAAATTATGATCGGACTTGTTTGAACATTAGATCGTATTGCTTTGATAAGTTTCAATTGTCATCTTATTTGTCAATACGACATATCCAATAATAAAATCTCTATTAAAGTAAAGAGACTTATATAGTCGTCGAATAATTCTTTTGTTATGTATTTTTCTTTATTATATTATCCAATGTTTATTATTCTTGAATTGTTAATTGAAATTTTTATTAGCATATTATTTTGTTTAATATTTTGTTGTATATTTTATTAATCTTTTAATATGTTTTTTTTTTGAAGTTTATTCTATAGTTCTCAATAATATTGTCTGAATTTTAATGAATAAAATCTCTATTAAACTGAAGTGATTATATAGTCATCAAATAAATTTTTTGTTTTGTATATTTCTTTATTATACTATGCAATTTTTAGTGTGATTACAGCGTTAATAGTAATTTTTATTAGCAAATTACTTTGTTTAATATTTTTGTGTGTCACTTTCTTTTTGTAATGTAATAGAAGATATATATTTTATTACTCTTAAAATATTTTATTTATTTTAAATTTTATTCTATTGTTCTCAATAAGATTGTTTGAATTTTAATGAATAAAAGCCCTTTTTATTTATAGAAAAAATAATTTAAACAAAGAAATTAACTAACCTAAACTAATACTCACTCATGTTTAAGTAGTTAATTTTAGGTAGTTAATTTTTTAAGTGTTTTTTAATTTTCTTTTTTAAATTTTTAATTAATTTTTGGATCTCCAAATTTGTAAGAGTTTTGTCCTAAAATGTGATACTTGTTAATTTTTATTATTACATTTGACATTATCACATTGATTTGCTTCTCCTATTCTATATAGATAGATAGATAGATAAATATTGATATGGATATAGACTATCATATTAGGAAGAAACTACTCCCAATTTTAATTGCAAGTTTTTTATTTTTTTAATTTTAAAGTAATTTTAAACTCCAACTTGAAACTATTCCCCAATTTGAATTGGTAATTTTTTATTTTTTATAATTTCTTTTTTATTTTAAAATAATTTTAAAACTCAAACTTTATTGGAGCTTTGTCCTAAAAATCTACACTTGTCATCGTATGGTTATGCCACTTGGCATCATATAATTATTTTACTTCTCTTTATATGTGTGTGTATATATATATACACACACACACCCATATACTACTACAACTACTATATTAGAAAGAAACGACTCCCCATTATAGTCATAGAATAACTTTTTTGTTATGTATATTTTTTTATCATACTATCCAATTTTATTATTATATTGTTAATAAAAAAAATTATTAGCATATTACTTTGTTTAGTATTTTGTTTGTTAAATTCTTTTTGTAATATAATAGAAGATATATATTTTATTACTTTTGAAATATTTTTTTATTTTAATTTTATTCTATTGTTCTCAACAATATTATCTGAATTTTAATGAATAAATACACTTTTTATTTATAAAGAAATATTTAAACAAAAGAACCAAAGAAATTAACTAACCTAAACCAACACTCACCCATATTTGAGTAATTAATTTCTAAATGTCTTTTTTGTCATTTTCTTTTTTTCTTTTCTAAATAGTTATCCAAAATTGTATAAAATTTGTCCTAAAATGTGACACTTTGTTTATAAAGATGACAGTTACTTAATAATTGATCTAAAATGTGACACTTTGTTTATAAAGATGATAGTTACTCCCCATGAGTATGCATGCGGGTGGTTGTGTGCAAGTGGACGTGCAAGCGAAATGGGGGATGGGAAGTGGCTACGTGATTTAGAGGATTAAATTAGGTTTTCTTCTATTTTGTTATTATTTGTTTCATACCTTTTTTTTATACATAATCAGTAATATTTTCAAATTCCAACATTTTTGGAGCTTTGTCCTAAAGGAGTGCCACTTGGCTAATTATGGCTATGCCTCTTGGCTTAATATGATGTCTTTTTCTTCTCCTTTTAATAATATATAGAATATAGATATAGATATAGATTTATTTTATTTTAAAATAATTTTAAAACTCCAACTTGAAACTACTCCACCCAATTATAAGATATCTATATTTATTAATTAAAATAAATTAACCAATTAATACATATATATATATATATATATATATATATATATATATATATATATATATGTNTGTTTGGTTCGGATCCCCGAGGGCTCGGGTGAGTTTCGGGTAGGCTACGGAGTGATTTGAACTTAGGAAATTTCGCTGGTATGCTTCAGGTCTGCAGACTTCGCATATGCGAGGTTTGGCTCGCAAATGCGAGCCTCGCATTGACGAAAAATGCATCGCATTTGCGACCAACGGGAAAGGGGGAAAAGCTTCACAATTGTAAAGCTTTGATAGAAATTGCGATCCTGGCAGTTCGCATTTGCTAACCAGGGGTCGCATTTGCGACAATAGCACGCCTAGGTGAATCTTCTCATTTGCGAAGAGAAGTTCGCATTTGCGGGGTCGCATTTTCGAACCCTATATCGCAAATGCGATACCTGTAGCTGGTCAAATAGTTGGAAAACGGGATTTTTCATTCATTCTTTCAAAACCTTAAACACAAGAGGCGATTTTTCAAAGACTTTTCCTTCTCCAAATCATAAGTAAGTGATTCTTAACTAGTTTCTTTCAATCTTTCACCTCTTTTTACAAGATTTCAACCTAGAGTCTAAGATTTTCATGGTGAATTGGGGGGTTTTTTGGTAGAAACTAGGGATTTGATAAATTGGGGATTTAGACCTCAATTTGAAGGCGAATTTCAAAACTAATTACATATTCGGGCTCGGGGTTGAATGGGTGAACGGGTTTTGGTCCGAACCTCGAGTTTGACCAAGTGGGCATGAGGACGATTTTTGAATTTTAGGGGGAAATGTTGGGAAACCTAAATTTATGTATTGAAATTGATTCTTTTAGCAATATTTGATGTTATTAAGTTAATTATGGCTAGATATGAGTGGTTTGGAGGTGGAATCTAGAGGAAAAGCGGTAGAGCAGTGAGTGGCATGTGGATCGAGGTAAGTGCCGTGTCTAAATATGACTCGAGGGATTAGGAACCCTTGACTTATTTGCTATGTCAAAATCCATGTGAGTGGCGTATAGGTGAGGTGATGAGTACCTCTGCGCGGCCAATTTGTCTATTTTGCATGTTTCCTTCCCGTTCTTCTTAAATTACCCTTCTGTGCCTTAACTGCTACATGATTTACTGGTATTTTCATGCTTACTTGCTACTTGTCAGACATTGTTTCTCATTGTTGAAGGTATTAGCTACCCCGACGTTTCATTGTCTCATATTATTGGCTTAAGCTGGTTTATCGGTGTTTTACGGCATATTTTGGATTGGTTTCGCTGAGTAGCATTATTTTGTGAAGTTTCATAATGTACAAGCTTTCTGTTTGCCTTTGTTTGAGGTTTAAATATTGTGAAGAGTTTTGAGTTAAATTGTGAAATTTCTGTACTTATTGAGTAATTGATGTTGATATGGTGGGATCGGGTTGCGCGCCGCAACAGGAGGAATAAGGGTGATATATTGAGGAGGAATAAGGGTGAAATGCTATTATATGGTGGGATCGGGTTGCACGCCGCAACAGGAGGAATAAGAGTGGATTGATATGAAGTAATAAGGGTGAATAATCATATTTA